TACGGTGATCTGTACGCATGTGAGGCGGATATCATGTCGGGAGAGGTGCCTTCGGCTATAGAGAAGCAGCCGAGGGCTCCTCAAACCGATGGCACCCTGGTGCCGAGGGCTCCTGGTGCTGAGGGCTACTGTTTTTGCCGTTTTCTCCCAGTTTCTTAGTTTGCTTGAGAACCCCGTTCTGTGAGAGTTTAGAGCCTTCGGCCAGGGGGCCGAAGGCACCCCTGGCGCGTAGTGCGGGCTGCTTGGTACTCTGGGCGCTGTGATTTGGGCCTGTTGAGCCTTCTGGGCCTGTTGGGCCTTTGCTGGAGTAGTAGGAGTCTGTGGGCCGGGGGTTCCCGGGCCATATACTCCATCAGTTTATCTTCCTTATCTTTTTATATTCTTATGTTATTTTTATCTTCTATCTTTTTATGCTCTTTTATTTATTTTTCTTTTATCTTGGTTATATTCTTGTGTTATTGTTATCTTATATTTATGTATCTTTATTTTATTCATTTTATCTTACTTTTTTTTTCCTTTTCTTGTCCGTCTTCTCTTTTTGGCATCGATATCATAGATCGATTCATGTTAGCCGACCCCAAATTCTTTTGGGATTAAGGCTTGGATGTTGTTGTTGTTGTTGTTGTTGTACTTATTCGCATTATTTTATTTTCCAAAAATTCAAATCTCGCACATCACATTATTTTATTTATTCATTTATTTAATCGCTGAATTTATTTTATTCTTGATTCCATTTTTCCGTCCCTGGGAGATGATACTCGTACTTTAGCCCATACTGCTACATATTTTAAGTCCGAGAAAACTCACACCAGTCTTTAACATTTTGACGGTTCGAGCTATGAAAGACCTTGATATATCAATGGATGAACTCTCCCAAAGCCGCTTAATGATTCAAGGTTTCAATCAATGGGGGCAAAGTGTGATCGGAATGATACGACTTGATTTGGTTATTGGCGGACTGAAGGAAAGCACTCTATGGCATGTCATTGATGCAAAGGCTTCATATAATCTCCTTATAATCCGCTCATGGATCCATGAGAACGGTGTAATTCCTTCAACGTGGCACTAAGGCTTCATGTATGAGAAAAATGGTGTTGTGAGGAAGGTAGTGGCCGATGAAACTCCATTCACAGAAACCGAGACATACTTTGCAGATGCGATGTTTTACCTAAAGACCAAACTTTCTAAGGATGATGATGCTAGAAGAGAGCAAGAATATCACCCCTTGATTGAACTAAAACTGGAAGGGGAGCTTGTTAAAGGCGTAGAAGGGCTTATGGTCCCTCTTGCAAAGATTGAGATATCAAAGCCTCCTCAAAACACACGTAAGGAGGAACTAAAGATCAAGAGTGATTATAAGGCATATGAGCTCCCCAAAGCAAGTACAAATGAAGGATTTGACCCAAACGCATACAAACTTCTGGCCAAGGCTGGGTATATAATCCTAACGAACAGAAGTTGGGAAAACTCGTTCCTGAAGCTGGTGGAGAAGGGAAACCACAACAGATCAATCTTCGAGGACACACAGGATTGGATTATGTTCAGACAAAACCCACAAGAATCCTCATAAATAGAGCTACAACATATCATAGCAATACTCATGAAGAAGATGAAGTGACTTCTAAGCCGAAATACTCCGTTTTTGATTGAATTGGAGGGGCAAAATCAAGATATCTTTGACACAATAGGGCCAAAACCAAAGAAGATTATCAAGAAAGCTTTACAAGAAAGGCTTGGAATGATCCCGGTGATGGTGAAGCACGTTAAAGGCCCATGTCGTGGGCAAAACTTTGAACGGAAGCCGATACATGAAAGGTTGGGGAAAACACACTCATGCGAGAGGTTTTTCAACCAATATGCAAAGACACAAGATTTGAATGAATGCAGAAACTTGATTCCATCAAGAATGAGATGAGAAACCGATGTGAAAGTCTCGTATGGAGAAATTCTCAAAGTGCAACAGAAAACCATTGTTCACACTCAAGTGCCTGCATATAATAAGTTAAAATTTGATGGGCTGATTGATGACGAGGAATACATTGCCTCATCTTATCATGTTACTTTTGGTGATGAAATATCGGCCGATGGTGAAGATGCTGATGAAGCTCCTCCGGAATTTGAATAGGGAGTACGAACAACCTTGGATGAATTGAAAAAGGTAAATCTTAGCACTGAAGAATTCCTTCGCCCTGTTTATATCAGTGCTCTCCTCTCGAGTGAAGAAAAGAAAGGATGTGTGGCCTTACTTCGAGAATACATAGACGTCTTTGCATGGACATACAAAGAAATGACAGGATTATATCCAAAGGTCGTTGTTCATCACTTAGCAATAAAGAGAGGATGCCGACCAATAAAACAAGCTCAAAGACGCTTTTCGCCCGGATTTGATCCATTTAATCGAGGTAGAGGTGGATAAACTTATTGATGCCGGATTCATTCGAGGAGTAAAATATCCTACTTGGATATCCAACATTGTTGACAGGCCAAAATGTGTAGTGTGAAATGGTGTAAAAATTTGAATGGAATTTGTGTTTTTATTGGCTTGCAACGATATAGTATAAAGTAAATGAGTATCGTTCCACTAGAGAATAGCTCACAAAGAGAACTAGAATTAATGATTGATTTTTAGCTAATCACAAATTACAAAAAAGTTTATTTGTCCAAATAAAATAAGTATATTGCATTTCATATTCATACACTATTTTTTGTAATATCTTTTTTATATTCGTACAGTTTTTGGTAATATATTTCTATATGCATAAACTTTTTCTATAATATATTTTTTGTCACTTTTATATGTTTTTGAGGGTTTTAAGACATTGAGAGAGTTTGTTTATTTTGATTCTTGGAGTTACATTTGATAATATATGAAGTTACATCTACTTGTGCTCGAGTTACATTTTATTATGCATAAGTTATATCTTCTTATGTGCATGTTACATGTTTTTATGCGCGAGTGACATCTAATTATGTGTGAGTTACATCTATCTATTTATGATTTTTTAGTTATCTTTATCTTTAACTAATTAAATTACAACTGAATTAAGTTTTTCTTTACCAATTTATTACAGAAACTTATTAATCCACATAAAATAAGTATATTGTATTTCATAATTCCAAAATAAAAACCCTTTGATTGAAACAAAAAAAAATTAAATCATTTTTTTTTTTGAAAAAAAATGATTTTTTAGGAAAAAAGATTTCTTCAAAACATTTTGTGGTCTTAATATTTTAAAAAAAATCACTATTTAGATAAAGTAAATATGAAATTTGATTCTTTTTTTATTGTTACATTGAAATCAATGTTTTAGATAAGTTACACTTTGACTTGTCTACAGTAGCATTTCTTATTAACGTGAATTACATTTATTTACTTACAAATTACATTAATCTGCTATTGAAACAAGAGAAAAACAAAATTAATTAATGTACACACGTGCTTTTTCTTTTCAAAAATAAAAAGAAATAATGGCACTAATATTACTTCTCACCTTTTGATAGACAAAATTATGACCCTTTTACATAATTCCACAAAAGTGACCGTCTCAGTGTTTCCGTTGCTTTCAAATTAGGGATTTCATCTTCCTCTTCCGCACACGACTTCTGCACATCTTCTTCCTGCCCCTAGGACTTCCGCACATCTTCCTCTTCCGCCCAGGACTTCAGCACATGACTTCCACACACCTTCCTCTTCCGCCCAGGACTTCCGCAAATCTCCGCTCGCAACTCATCGTCTCCCAACAAACTCTCCGTCATCTCCATCTTCTCCCATCGCCGCCGGGTGTAAATCGCATCTTCTAAATCGTTTTCTTCACCTTTCTTCATCTCCATCTCGGATCTGCGACGAGTGGCGGCGGGGAAGTCAAGTGTTGACGGGGTTGGGCGGCGTTGGGGCAGATAGGCTGGGGTTGGGGTTGGGAAGCTGTGGGTGGACGGTGTAGCAGGGGAGGGGACCGAAGCTGAGGTAGCGGGGGAGGGGACTGGGTTGGCTGTGGACGGGGCTGTGCAGCTGTGGGGGGGAGAGCAGGGGCTGGGGCTGGGGTGCAGGGGAGGGGGCTGGAGGTGCAAGGGGTGGGCTGGAGGCAGAAGGGGGTTGGAGGGAGCAGGGGAGGGGGTTGGGGGCAGAAAAGGGGGTTGGGGGGCTGGGGGAGCAAGGGTAGCGACGGTGGCCGGGTGTAGCAGGGACAACGGTGATAGTGGGGTTAAGGGCTGCGTAGGGGGTTGGGGTATGCTGGAAAGGGGGTTGGGGTCTGTGTAGGAGATGGGATGGGATTGGCCGGGGACGGGGCTGAGGGACTGTGAGGAGCGGTGGAGGGCGTGTCACTATGGCGATGTCACTCTGGGTGATGGGCGGGCCATCACTTTGGTCGGAGTCACTTTTGCGGTGTCACTATGGCGGTGTCACTATGGCGGTGTCACTGTGGTGGTGTCGTTGTGGCTGGCAGCGATGATCGGTGGTGGCGGTGACCGACAATGGCGGCAGTGACATGATATCTAATAGTGACATATAATAGTTACATAACAGTCCGGAGTGACAAAAAATGACAGTGACATCATGTTTTCCAAAAATGTGACCTTCTTAGTCACATTTTTATCCTTTTTAAAAATAGTCACATTTTTGGAAATCAATTTAAATTTAGTAATATTGAAGGGAAAAGCCCAAAAAAAAAATACACAAAACTGCTACGTTTTAAATAAAAAATACGCAAAAAATTCTTTACTCACGATTCAAATCTCACACTGTGAGATCCCCAAGGTATACGAACTCCAACCATTCTTGATGTACACACCCTTGTACACACCTTATATACACCATGTTTGTGAAGCTTTTTTTTTGTCTGTGAATCCGGTTCACAGACAATATTTTGTTTGTGCAAAACATTGTCTGTGAATCGATGTTCACAGACAAAAAAAGAGTTTTCACAGACATAAGTGTGTACAAAAGTGTGTATAAGAGTGTGTACAAATATCATTTTTGAACGAACTTCTCGCCATGGAAGGTTATTCTTGTCAAATCTCTTATTTACGGAATTGTAAACATCTACCGTTCCCAAAAATATCTAATTCTCGCAATCATTGCCTCATTTCCTTTGCCAGAAATGGCGATTTCTGCAAAGGCAGCTCTAATTTGCTTGTTGAATACCAATGACCGTTCAGCTGCCGCACCGCGGACTCCATCCTCTCCGCCCAAGTTCTCTCATTTGTCGTCCTTCCAGCTCCTTACATGCCCTGGAGAACTTCGCGGTATGCGGATTGGAACCCACAGTTACGAGACGAAGCCACGGCCGCGAACTATAGCTCCGGTGAAATACTCTTACTTCTACATTTTTCTTGTGAAATCATGGGATTCATTGCTGTTCTTTCCTTTCTGGTTCGATACTTTGGCTAACGGTTGCTCTGAACTTATAGTATGAGTTTTGTGCTCTCTATGCCAGGTCTTTTTTAAATGCTATTAGAGTTGCCAAGTCCTTTGATTCTTGATCTACTAAAGCTATTACAATAGGACGTCCAATTCACCTATATATTTGTTAGGATCTGCTTTGCATTTACATTGTGGTTTTCATTCTTGAGGCTCTAAGATTCATGGAAAGAAAAGATGGAGCAAGCATAAGAATTTTTTAGAAGGAAAAAATGTGGAATAAACATGAAAGTATTGCCGCAAAGTTCAGAGTCAATCTGTTCTACATTTGCCGAGCTAAAGCCATATATTAGGAAATAATTTTCCTTAACATTTTCTTTCCTTACCTTAGCATTTTCCTGGTTTGAAACATAGCCTAAGCCAAGGGCATGCTTTTATCACAGAAAATGCTAGGGAAAGGAAAAAATCAAACAATTGGTTAAGGGAAGCTATTTTCTTGAGTTTGTTTTTATATTGGAAAATGAGGAAAATGAAATATAATTTCTGTTTTTTTAAAAGCTTACATATATTTATTTTTTTAATTTTTATATATAAGAAATACTATAATGAGTTTGACCAAGTATAAAAAATACAACTATTGAGCTTGAACAAAAAATTGCCTGCATTTTCCTCCCTGTTTTCTTTCCCTTTCATTTCCCGTGTTCAAACAGACTATAACTTAGTAGCCTTCCCGATCATTTTATATATTATGATTTTTGAATGCTGACAGCTGAGGAATTCGATTTCAAATTCATCCGATTCCTGAATTGTTTGAGTTATCCGTATTTTAGGTGCATATATATTGTAATATCCAGTTATCATTGTTTGGATTATGTGTATTCATATAAAAAATTCAAGAGTGCCGTGAAGCTAGTTTTGCCTCCGAGTTTTGTGCATTTGTTTTTTTTTGCTCAACCAAGGTACAACACATAATAATGTAATGATGTACCTAATAACAAAATTGTCCGCACACTCACACATTCAATTTCTTGCTTGACAACAAAAGAGTGCTTATGATTGCGAGCTCTCTCCTATTTCCAATCAGTGTCTTCTTGGTTTACTTTCTTCTGTGAGTCACTGTCATTATCTTTCTAGCATTCCATTTCATATTTGGAGTTTTAGTGCATCGTCATGATCTGTGCCTTTGAGAAATTTAAGATCGACCTTGATTCTCTTTTAATAATATTTTTGTAAAATAAGTTAGGTTTATTTTTGAAAATTTCATTTGCTATTATTAGTTCTTTTAAATAAGTTAGGTTTATTTTTGAAACTTTGATATGCTGTTATTAGGTTGAGGCAAAGAAACAGATATTCTCTTCCTTCGATGATCTGCTGGAAGAATGCGACAAAGCTGTTCTAGTTGACTTCTACGCAACTTGGTATGTTTTACAGATTACAGAGTATTGTTTTTATTCTCCTTTACATTCTTCTCAATCTGGCAATCTGCTTCGTGTAACTACTGAAAGAGTATTCGTCTTATGGTCAATATCCCGTTCTATCATTCTGCGTATATTCTAGGAAATACTCTGTAATGACCTTTGAGGTGGTAAGAAGCATATCATAGGGGCCCATAAAGGTTCGATGTGAGCAAATGCAAGGATTAGCTTGTTTTTTTGAGTGCTCATACTTGTATTTTTGTATTCATTTTTTTTACCCAACCACTTGCTTTATAAATTAGAATTCTCTTTTCAAGAGAGCGTGACATGACACAATTTTTGTAACTGTCTTTACTCTTTAGTTCTTGAACGTCTAGTGGTGGATTTTGTAAAAACATTAATCCTCATGTGTCCCTGCAGGTGTGGTCCTTGCCAGTTTATGATTCCAATTCTCAACGAAGTAGGCAATGCAATGAAGGATAAAATTAATGTGGTAAAAATTGATACTGAAAAGTATCCTAGCATTGCAGACAAGTACAAAATTCAAGCACTCCCAACATTCATTCTTTTCAAGGATGGGAAACCTTGCCTTCGCTTTGTAAGTAACTTGACCATACAAGGTTGTGTATGTGTTCAGTAAGAAATAGGGATATAATCAAGCCGAGACGAGCTTGAATTGTCAAAGCCTGAAGCTCAGGCCAAGTAAAAAATCAAAGCTCGATTCAACTCAAGTATTGAATTATTCGAGTTTGGCTTGAAGAGGCTTGCTCGTTTATTTATTTTTCCATTTATTCATGTTGGTTTTCGGGCAGAAAAACGCAGCGGAATAAACAAAAAAAATACTGCTCAAAAGTAAACAACCGGATCTGAGGTTCTTATTATAAACGAAATTATAAGATATAAGAGGGACTTACATAGCAATCTTAATCAAGGATGTCAGACAGTCCGAGAAAACGATCCCGAGCTCTACCGGTATCCACACGCACGTGATTGGATCAGCCGCAGGGAACGTGCTAGCGTTCTCTTCTTTCTTCCTCTCTACTCTAGGTTTTAGAAGTGAATTTTAACTCTTAAAATTCGTGGGTCTATATAGCCCTATTTATAAGAGGAGGAAAGAAGGAGTTTTATAGCTAATAAAACCCTCCAAGAGGCCTTAGCCCAATACCATTCGAAACCCTATTTCGAATTGGGCTAATCAGGCTATTTTAATGTTATTAACGAACATTAATGATCCAAATCACTTAGGTGTGTGACTCTGTAGGTTTATATATTATTGGCAGTGGGCTAAAAAATTAATTCAAGCCTCACAAATCATAAGCGGCCTCTAGCACGGCATTATGACTATCCAAAATATCTAAATGTCAATTAAATCTGACATAACCTTTTAATGATTAATTTGTGCTAATAATTCTCTTTTGTCAAACGATATCTTAATTGAGACAAGGTTAGGTCATGTCATCCTTGTTATTCTCAATTAATATTTCTTGATTACCAAGTAAGATTAATTTTGAACAAATGACACCTCATTTGAGCATGGCCATGCTAATTAATCTTACTTGTCAAGGGGCCCAATAGATATCTTTCTCTCGCTATACGAGAGTGACAAAAACTATCTTGATAATTCACATACCACTACATGGTTCATAATTTGTACAATCACCACCTTTATAATTACCCATTTAAAAATAATATTTAATGGTGTTAATACATATTAATTCACATGCAAGTAACCATGATTATCTCAAGTATAAGAATATAGCACCTCATCATTATTGAGGACAACACTGATGACATATAACCTAGCAGTGTCCTCAAGTTGGGTCTGTCCAATGAACTTGTTCACTAACAAGCATCTATGTTATTAACTTGATATCTCTATACCCATGACTAGTGGAATATAGCCATCAGTTAATCCACATAATGGTCTTATTAATTATTAATGTCCCAGATTAATAATATTAGACCATGGACAATTAGAATATTATGCTTATTTTAAAGTGTAGCATTCCAAAATTAAGTCACGTGCTTAATTAGCTACTAAATATAATATTCAGGGACTAAATATTAATAAAGAAAACTCACAATAATAATTAATATAAAATGAGTTTGTGACTTTATTGATTAATGAGCATTAAATATTCATTGATAAATCATAAAGTATGATTGTCCTAGGACATACTTCCAACAATTCATTCAAAAATTATAAAAACAAATATTATAAAACAAAATTTTCACTATACTATTATATTAAAAATAAATTCAATATCAAATTTGATAAATTTATATGCATATATATAAGATTAATATATATTGGGTTTACGAGCTGCTCGGTCTCAGGTCACAAGAGTATTGATCAAATTCAAGTACACCTCAAACAGTTTGATTCAGTAACACCCTAGTGAGAACCCACATTTTTGTCTACCCAAAACAACCAAGCCTGTAACAACACTCGGAAATCGCATATATTTCTATCGAATACCGTACTTCATTTCCACATCCCTTTCTTCAAAAGATTGGAGTGAAATTGCCTGAAAGAAATACTATGTACCTCCTTATCAGAACTGGCAAAGTTTCTGTCATGTTTACACGTAGCATAATTTGACAATGCTTGACCCTTTCTTTTGCTCTGCTACATCTTTGTTGATTTCAGTGTGTTCCTTTCACAGGAGGGCGCATTATCTGCTGACAATTTAATCGAACGTATCGAGGGTGCGCTCAAGGCTGCACAGTAGTTTTACTTAATAATCTCTCAGTCTTCTCTGCAAAACGGTATGTTTATGTCCCAAGTTTGGGCCGACATATAGTTTTAGACCATGGGGATTGGGGAGTTGGAAAAGATCCCTTTGTTGTACGGAGAAAAGCTATCCCCATGGTTGTATTTTTTTGATGTGATGATATTCATTCGATGTAAAGGTTGTTCCAGACCGTAGCTCTTAGGTTTAATGATATTAACTCGTGCATTAACTTCACCTTTATATGGTATATATAGGTGCCCTAACGTTGGCATCCCAACAAAGAAGCATTACTTGCCTTCATTTTTGCATCAACCCGAACTTCCAAAATTAAGTTTTGAGATTTCGTTACAACAAAAATTCTATTTGTACAAAAGATTTGTGCACTTTGTGTACATAAATAACTTGTCTAAAAGTTATGTATATACACAGATCATTTTTCTATTTTTTAGACAAGTTGCCTGTGCACAATCCATCTATACCGTATTGAATCAAAAGTCTGTTCTGATTTCTTTGATTTGAAGTTGATTTTGTCTGTTTCCACATACATGAAACATATATGAAAATTTTGTTCTCAGAGGTGACAGACATTAAACAATAAATCCCACAATAGCAAAAGTAACCGATTACATTGTTGATCTACATAATACATATATAATTGTTTAATACATTTAATGTGCCAAAATAAGAATGAAATAAGTAATACTACTTAGGGGTGGACTGAACTGGGCCAAACCGGCCCGTGAACCGGACCGGCCCGCTACTGTGCGGGCTTGGACCGGACCGGGACCGGATGGCCGGTCCCGGGCTTTAGCCCGGTGTGGGCGGGCCGGGCTCGGGCCCTATTTTTCTTGATTCGGCTCGGGCAATCCGGTCCGGGCACGGTTCATTTGTTTCAATTTTTTTCTTTTCCTTGGGTAGGGATAGGTGTTTTGGGGAGGTTTGAGGGGTGGGATGGGGGGGGGGGGGTTAATTAGAAAGCAAAAAAAAATTATTCATTGGCCTGGCTCGGCCCGGTTTGGCTCAGACCCGGTATCAACCCGGTTTGGTAAATGGCTAATTGAGATGGCTTATTGGATCCAAGCAGCCAAATTTCATAACGTTGCAAGGTGTACCGGTGTAGTGTAGGGATGGACCTGGTCTCGGACATGCAGTTCCCAAAATCAGGACTACAAGCTGGCGTAGGACATAAGTGCACACGTTTTGACTATTATACTCTTAATTTATAATCAATTGCTCAACCTAGGAAGAAATTGCAGCGATGAACTCTTCTTCGAAACGGGCTTGATGGAGAGCATCAACAAGCTTCCAAATCCTACGAGCTTCCAAATCGATGTGCTCCATTTGATCCTTTCCTTAGCGCCGGTGACAATCCATAAGAAGTCTCTCGAATAGTATAGTTGTCGACCACGGTAGATGGAGTCTCATTTCTTTGACAGATTTGACAGAGAGCATCCACAAGCTTCGACGAGTAGATCTGTTGGGCCGCCTGACTCTTCCACCTGAGTCCATCCACACAGGTAGGTGGCGTCTGATCCCGGTCTGAATCGCCGGTTTTCCTCCACTTCTTCCGTGATAGGTTTGAGTTGACATTAGGATTTGTGATCGAAGATGATAATTCCATCGTACAATCAGTGAAGTCCATGAGTTTCTGAAACAGAACGCTCCTCTATCTCTGTGGTATTGGAGATTTGAAGATTGGAACTTGGAAGCAAGAATTAAGAGATTCAATTGCAACTGAAAATTAAAGTGACCGAGTAGGCATTAATTAGTCCTTAGTGGCGTATGCACCGACATTAAACTCCTCCACATTAAACTCCTACAGCTTAAGTATAAAAATTTAAAAAAAGTATAAAGCAAATATGAATATTAATAGATTCAATTGCTGAAATAATGCTTAAATATATTTATGAAGCATAGAATAATACACATCACGTGATATAAAATATAAAGTTGTTAAAGGTAAAAAGTATAGTATAAAGTTCTTTCAAAAATGACTACATGCAATGTCCTTTCTTGAACATTAAATTAGTATAACTAAAGCAAAGTACAAGAATTAGTATAAAATTATAATACATACCCCATGAATATGATTAAAGGCGGTCAATTAAAACATGTGGAACACCAAATGTTACAGATCCCTATTAAGTTGAATATTTTAGTGACACATGACGAGACATAGTTAATGTACGAAGTAGGAAGAAGTGAGTTGTTAAGTGCAAATTGATATAGACATTGGTATATAAAAAAGAGAGATAGTCATTAAATACACAGTAATAAGACATTAATTTTGGAATATGGAAAAGGGTCAAATAGACCCTCGAACTAACTTAAAAAGTGCAAATCATACCTTATATAAGAGGATTTGTCCGTCCGTCGCCATTTGGGGCGGTTACCGGTGAAATTTTTCGATGAAATTTTTTGAGCATCTTTTTCATTAAGTCTACTTTACGCATACCAAATATCAGCTAAAAAATCAATCGGGAAGGAAGTCAAATGAAAATTTTAAGATAACTGCGTGGTTAAACAGCGCAGTACATTTCAGAAAATCATTTGACTGTCTTTGTGGTTAAATTTTTATCTGAAATTTAGTATGGGTAAACTAGACTTAATTAAGAAGAGGCTCAAAAAATTTCATCAAAAAATTCCACCGGGAACCGCCTCAAATGGCGACGGCCGGACATAGCCTCCTATATAAGGGGTGATTTGCACTTTTTAAGTTAGTTCGAGGACCTATTTGACCCTTTTCGCTTTTGAATATGTCTGCTACTTAAATATATATGACAACCAAAAGTACATACTCTGAAAAGCTAAAAACCAAGAACTTCTTGCAAGACTTCTTATTGTGTCAGCCTTTCTTACACCGTGAACAACGTTGTCAGTAACCAAACTCTCCAATTGAACTTCAACAAATAACTACGAATAGGAGGATCTTGTTGCACACTTGACTACCTAGTTGAACTTCCACGGCAAACCAGTAGTAGATCCTCTAAACTTTGTCCTCATATCGCCTAAAACGTGTTGAACATAGTATCTGTTGGGATATTGACCCGGAGGCCCAATACCCGGATTAAAGGCCCAGGACATCTAGCCCAAACAACGAGTCCACTACCCTATGATAAGTAGGCTCAGTCAGATATTCATATCGAACGAGGTTCGGGCCAAGTAAAGGTTGGTCCAGAAAACAGACATACCGAACGGGATTCGGGTCATACATTATACTTGGGCCAAATCAACAATGTTTTACAGAGCCCGTTATCCCGTTCGGGCAACAGACAACCTGCAGGTGGCCAGGTGCAATTAATGCCAGATTGTGACATCATCAAGTGGGGGCATGGGTGATCAAGTCGGTGGAACATCGACCAATCAGCATAAAGTGTCTCATACTCTCCATTAGTATAAATAGAAGGTTTAATATCATTGTAAGGGTGAGCATTTTAATACTCAAGCCCTAGAATAGCCTTATTACTCTTGTTTCTTGTATTAAGCATCAATCCGACGTACCGTTCGGGTAATTTCCCTTTAATCAAACAGGTCAATTAATACAAGTGGGCTTTTGAGCATTCGATTATCGATCTTTTATATTTCTTTTACATACCGAATTATTATCCATTTCCTGATATATCCAAAGTCTGTGTTGGGCTTTCGGATCTACGAGATTAAACCTCAACATTGGCGCCGTCTGTGGGAACTTCTGAACAAAAAGTTTCACACCAAACAAAAAGCTATTTTCAAAGTGGTTAGAATTACTTCTCATCATACAGGAGGGACTTCAGATAGACGTGGGGAAAGCCGAACCCCCCAAGGGCAATCCAGCCGGGGATCCTACCCACACTTTGATGGGGATTTTTTCATCCCCGAAACATTAAGAAGGAAACCCCATGCCATGCGGGATTTGGCTCAGGTCATGCAACATATGGCGGATGAGCAGGATGGGGGACAGTCCAGTTACACCGGGGAAACTAGGTACACAACCCTGTCATTCAATGATGAAACCACCGATGCAGAAACAACCACGACATCAAATCACTCACGAGCCCACCGGAGAGAGCGCGCAAGAGCACATGCGACCAGGGGCAGGCACCACACTCCTAGTGACCACACCCCGACCGGGTCACGGGCCAGAGGAGATACGCCCGTTGCCCGCAAATTCCGGTTTGAAGAGCGTAACAATACGAGATTCGGGCAGAGACGTCAGAATCAAAGAATAACTCTGCCAGAAGCGAATCGGGAATTTGTGAACTTGGGAACTCCACCACCGCCTCCTCTAACGGCCCAAGAGGAAGAAATGGCCGAGATGAGGAGGCAGATGAACGAAATGAGGGAACAAATGAACAGAGCCCCTCTGCAGCCTACTCCAGCTCGGGTCGGAATGACTTCCCCTTTCACCTGGGAAATCATGCAAGCGGAGATCCATAGGGATGCCAAACCACCGACCGGTCAAATATATGACGGGGCCGGAGATCCCCACGGGCACTTGAGGAGTTATCAAGGGGGGCTTATGCTGTTGGGAGCATCGGAGTCGGCCATTTGCCGACTTTTCTTCAGCACACTTAGGGGGCCTGTCCAGGAATGGTTCGGGACCCTGCAGCCCGCCTCGATCGGCAGCTTTGCCGAATTATCAGCTTTATTCCTGGCCCAGTTTGCATCCAGTGCCACTTCGAAGAGGAATTTCAGTTACCTGACTAGTATCAGGCAGGGTCCGAAGGAGACCCTAAATCAATTCCTCAAGAGATGGAGGGATGAAACCCTAAAAGTGGGGAACATGACGGAGGATACAACCATCACCATATTTACTAACGCTCTCCGAACGGGTGAATTGTATAAAGAGCTGAAAAAGAATCCGGGTACGGTTTATTCTGAAGTGCTAAACAGATCCCGGAAGCATGCGGCTCTTGAAGAAGAAATCCTGATCAGGGATAAGGTAGCTGCACCCCAACCCCCATGAAATTGGCCGATCGGCTGGGTCCTACCCCAACGGCCGCTCCACCTTCAAGAGCGGCACGATTCACTCCTTTGGTCCTTTCTGTGGCAACCATTTATCAGAACGAGAAGGACATCATTCCCCCTTTGATTGACACCAGAGGTTTTATGGGGACGGATGCAAGTGCTTTTTGCAAATACCACAACAGGAGCGGTCACTCCACCCAATCCTATCGGGCATTGCAAATAGCCATTGAAAAATTGATCCAGATGGGTCATCTGGGTAAATATGTAAATACAGACCCGAATGCTACGGGTATTCTGAAACCGGTCAAGAAATCCAACAGCTGGAGGCGAGATGTACAACGTGATGCTCGCCCCAGAAATGATGTAT